AAAGTCACAAAAGGGGATCACATGAAGCCAGGACACTGAGACCGTCATAAATATATGCCAGAATTTGGATCAGGTGGTTTGTGGGTGCTGCTACAGTTGTGTGAAAAAGTCATGTCACTTTTTTCAGTGCTGTTGTAACTTTGAAAGGTCACTAAATGAACTGTGGTAAGTCAAGCACTACCTGTTTACTATTTGTGTTTTCTAAGAAAGGCTAGGAATCCAAACATCACTAAGCATATTTTTAAAATAGGTTTCTGAGACTAGCTTTTACTTCTCAATATACCAAGCTTCATTAATATATTTTAATAACATAAATTTAAAAAACCTATCATTTCTAATATATCAGTAATTTAAATATAGACTGTTCAGGATTTCTGATTAATCAAAACCTAAAAATAATTTTATTAAATAATTTTAGTTCTTTAATCTGCATTTAAAAAGGTAAAGATTCCCCTTGCACATACATGCTAGTAGTTTCCAGCTCCAGGGGGTGGTGCTCATCTCTGTTATAAAGCCGAAGAGCCAGTGCTGTATGAAGATGTCTCTGTGGTCATGTGGCCGGCATGACTAAATCTGAAGGTGCACGGAATGCTCTTACCTTCCCACCAAAGTGGTCCCTATTTTTCTACTTGCATTTTTACATGCTTTCAAACTGCTAGGTTGGCAAAAGCTGGGACAGGTAACGGGAGCTCACTCCATTATGCGGTGCTCGGGATTCGAACTGCCGAACTGCTGACCTTTATTTATTCCAATATAAATTGAAGTATTTATTATTTATTAATTTATTTATTGAAATAAATATAAATTTATTCCAATATACATTGGAGATTTATTCCAATGTAAATTTGCATTTACATTGGAATAAATCTCATCTCATTAGGAATTGATAAATGTAAGATTGTAATAAATGATATAATCTATTTTTCTTACACACAAAAGTAAATTGTATTGTGTCTTTTGTGAAGCCACACCCAGTGAATTTCATAGGACTTATTTTTTGGTAAGTGGGTATAGAACAATAGTCTAGAGATGTAATGTGTACATGAATGTGTATTAAAATAGAGAGTACCTTCTATTTTGAAAAAGTTAAGTGGTAAAGAACTTACAACTTTAATAAATATGACATTATTGGAAGATGTGATTAGTCCATCTTAATTGAAAAAAAATTAGGCAAAGAGCTTTTTGTTATGACTCAGTTAAAGTTATATCTCTCTACCCATCAACCAGCATAAAAATTAATCAGCATACATTTGGGGTGACATTACTATTCCAATTGTCTCAGTTCTGGTGTACAGTTGATGGACTATTCCTCATTTACCATGGAGAAAAGTTTGCCCTCTCCCTAGCTGGCAGAAAAGCATTCATTTACAGAACTGTGATGAGTAGTAATTTTGACAGGTAGATATTTAGTAGTTTATCAGGTTTAATTTGTCAGAATTTCAGGCCAAGAATCAGTTTGGAGACTTGGTACATGAAGAATTTTGTTTGAAACACAATTTCATTAGGTTTCATGCAATAGTATCTTTTTTTCTAAATAAAGTGTAATGAAACTCATATAAAAATAGTGGTCATGACACATGTCTTTGGGAGAGCATTTCATAATAAGGGGAAGTTCCAGGTAGCCTTGTTGGCAGTTGTGACAGTTAGGTGTCCTGTAGTATAAAAGAACCATTTTGTAGTTTGGATTTAGATGTTTGATTAAAAAATAATAATCTTTTGACAGAAATAACTATTCTGTGGCACTGAAATATTTTTTTCCCCTTCAAATCAATCTTGGCTCCTGATAGCATCGACACCTCTTGTAGCTTTTTAGTAATAGTTCAGAATTTACAGTGCATTCTTCCTCAGAATTTTCAAGCAGATGCTTCTCACAAAATATATGTCCTTTAAAGCTTTAGTAATCCCAAAATGAATTTATATCTGTGATAATCATTTTTATGAAATTCTTCAGCTCTTTTTATAAGTCTGAAAGCAATCTGACCTTAGGATGCAATAAGTACTGAGTGAATTAAATTCTAAGTGTTTGCTAATTTCATAAAAGCTTTGATTTAGATATGCTATCTGTTCATAAATAAAGGTGTATCCGTTGTGTTAATGATGCTAGAATCTGAAAAACATTTCCACTTAAGAGTTCAGCTAAACTGATTAATTTATCTAAATCCCCGAGCAGTGTAGAGAGCTTAAATTGTGATTACGGTAGTTACTGCTGGCACAATAAGCTGAATTTCCCTTTCCTTATATGGATTTGGCCAAATCGGTAGTTTAGTGCTGGAATGGTTCCCCTTGAATCTCTAGCGTGGCTGTTAGGAAAGCTCCTGGGTTGCTCCCGATCTACAGATACTTATTGGCTGTACCGGAGCTGGTTTTTCTCGCTTGGCTCGGCGCTCGATTATTTCAGCTGACCAATCTCAGCTGGAGTTTTCGGCGCTCCACAGTCCCGCCTCGCTGCCGCCCTGCATGTGCCGGAGCCAAGATGGCGGCCTCCACCCTCTCTCAGCCCAAGGCGACAAAAGCGGTGGCGGCGGCGCGGCCCCGAGACGAGGAAGAGGGTGCGGGGCCGCCTTCGGAGGCCGGTAAGACCCTGGAAGTTAAAACAAAACAACAAAAGGGAAAACTCGGCTTGCTCAGTAGGAAGGCCGATCTCGGCGTGACAGCTTAGATGTCGCTTCCCTCTTCGGATACCCCCTTTCCCGGCCTCCGGATCAGCCCGGGCTGCGCCCGAAGAGATCGCGGCGCTGGTTGCTCCCTGGAGGGAGGCGTCGGAGGGCGTTGAGTGACAAGTAGCTGCGCCCCGTTTCTCCTCGCCTGCCCGATCGCAGGCCAGGATCTCTTTTATGTCAAGGCCTCGGTTCCCCTGTCTTCAACGACAACAGTGGTCCTCATTCATTCATCCGCCCTTTCCTTCAGCTTGCAGCACCCACAGCCACTGGCCAGCGCCTGTCGCGGCTGGTCCCTGCCTCTGAAACGGAGAAACCTGGTATTTGGAGAAGAGTTCGTTTCATAAAGCATATTTGTCCTTGAAGAAGGGAGAGGGGTAGCGAGGATAATCTTCCACACTCAATTGTTACTATTTCCTAATTGTGTCAGTTCTAAACAAGAGCGGCCTTCATGCTTATGAATATCGGTCTTCTGGTGGATTTTTGAAAATCCTTTTAAAATGTAGTGTTTATTAACTCATCTAGCTAAAAACCTAAAGGCATATATGAAAGGGACTGGTTACACTGTGAATAAATATATAAGATGTTGGTGCTATGGTTATGGGGAAAAATGCTTCATATATGCCCGGGTTTAAACACTCCAGAATGATTGATTCTGTTTTTAAAGCTAACTGTAGAAGATAAAATAATACAACAAAGTATTTATATTTTGATGTGCTGTTGATTTTGTTAATTAATTTCCTGAGTTTATAAAATATATTTATCTCTGATGTGTACCAAAAATTGAATCAGTTTTATTTAATAGAAGATCCCTAAACTTAATATTGTGTCTCGGTGTTCTTCTTTGTAGTTTGAACTGACATATAATTACCCAGAAGTTATTTTAAAGTATGTTTTATTAAATACATTCCTACCCTGCTTTTGTTCCATGGAGCTTAGGATAGGATAAATTGTTTAAGACCAGACCTATGAAATAAAATAGGTTGAGGAAGTGAAGATCCAAGGTCACCCAGTCATCTTTATGGTTGAGTGGAGATTTGGTCCCAATACACTATGCTAACACTTTGCTTTAATAGAATTGTGGTTCATGGAGAGTTTTGATTGGAAGTTTCCCCCCTCCGTTATGGGGAAACATTGCCTTTGTAATTTGTTTTCAAATTATTTTATTATGGTAATTGGTAATCTTACCAGTTACAAATTACAACATTTTGTAAGTTGTATAATTGACATATTGACCTTCAGGTAATGATTTAAATTAACTGGATTTTATTGTTACAATTTTTCCTCTATGTGTGCACTTAATTTTTATATGCTTAACAGAATTCTGGATGCCACTGAGTGAGGTACTTTGAAACTAAATCCAAAGAGTTTCTGGACCAAAGAAGGAAATACTTTTTCACATACAGCATAATTAATCATTGTCAGTAGTTGTAGAATGGGCAACCAATATACTTGGATTTAAAAGGGGATTGAACAGACCCATGAAGGAATCAATAAATATTAATGCTAATGGCTTTTAACCACTCCCTTGGCTACAGGCAGCATTCATTATAAACTAATTGCTGAGAATTAGGTAGGAGGAGGTTATCATTCTCCAATCCAGAATGGGAAATGAATAAAAATTGATCACTTATGTGGCAGAGCATGCTGTACAATGTGAGCCTTGGGTCTGATCTCACAGGGCTTTTCTTATGTTCATATATACAAGCAGGAAAGTTTGCTGAAATAGAAACTGGCATCTAAGCGAGTAGCAGAATTTCAGATGTTATTATATTACCTTTCATTAATAAATTTGTTTAGTTCAGTGAATATTAATTCAAAATATTTTATGACTTTCTACCCAAGGAAACAATCTGTTTATTTTTATTTACCTAAAGATTTTTTTTATTTAATTATCTCTGGTATTTTTATTTTGTTCCTTCAAGTTTGAATGTTTCAAGCTTTTAAATTTAGTTGGCTGTTATGTTTATGTATAATGGAATAATCTGATTTGTAATTTTTGTACATAGCTGATTTTATTTTTCATATTTTGATTTTTAAAAATATTCCATATACATTTTGAAGAAAAATAAGGATTGTATTATGAATATCCTATTTTAATGTTCTATTTTTTTCTAATAAGATACATATGCAGCAAAACTAAATCTAATCGATCTTTACAGGACTTAATTCCAAACATAAGATTGCACTGTTAGCTTAGTATAGTTTATGTCCATCAGGAAAAAGATTTTTTCTTAATTAACCTGATCAAGTAGTGGATAACTTATATAGTACTTAATATTGTCACACTCCTAATCTACAGTTTTCAATTCAATCCCTATAATCCCTTCTGTCGTTTGGTAGTTATGGTTTCTGAGGAAGAAGAGGAGATGATTACCTCAGAGATGAGCTCGCCACTCCTCCAGAAGAAGAATTCTTTGGCTGGATCACTAGATCAGATTCCAAACCGAATAGGAACCTCACTTTCTCCTGAATCTTCAAGCAACAAGGCAGACTCCCAGGATGCCAAATGTGAGTCTCTCACGGTTGCTACTGAACCTTGTGTGGTATCCATGGTGGAGAAACTCTTCTCTGTGCCTCAGCTTATTTTTAATAAATATCTAATCATTTATAACTTGTGTGAAGGATGTGTAGGGTGAATATTAATTATAGATTTTATTGCCCAGTATACAATTTTCATGATTAAAAACTTTTATTTATCTAGATAAAATATTACATAAATAAATCTATAAAACACTTCAAAACGTTTATGTGTATAATGGTAGAATAGTTCTACTAATGATTTTATTCTAATGGTTTGTAAAGTTACTTCAGGTGACCCTTCATCTGAATATCAAATGAAAAACAAATTTCAGGAGATTGTGAAACCCACCTCAAATTTTGCAAGTAAGATTAGCAACTTTACATATATTGGATATTTTAATTTTTTTTCAAATGTAATTTTTAATTTAATTTTGGAATACCATAGATGCTGTTTGGGTGAGTCAAATGTAATCTTTAAATGCTGCTGCTAATGTTAGTAGCCTGCTTAAAGGAAAGAGCTGAGAAATGCTGTTCTATATATTTTCATGCATTTTAAAAATAATTCAAAATTGTATGTGAAAATACACCTTTGTTCATTAATAGGATTACCATTCATCTAACTGAAGTATCCTTTTTCAGATATGAATTGATGACCATAATATGCATAGATACGGTACTTAATGAGACTCAAAATATTTTCTCATTGTTATAAAGTGTAGCCACAAATCTTTTTGTACGTACAGAGACAGTATAATAGAAGATGTCTGTAGAATTATCCAATGCTGCACTACTGGCTAAATGAACAATACTAGAACAGTGCACTGTGTCACATCTTTACTGAACACGTTGAATCAATATTTACTGTTTTTTTGGTAGAAAAGTTAGTTTTAGTTTTAGGTTACCACCTCTCTTAAGTAGTAAGTCGAATTAGATATTCCAGTCAATATATCAGGCAAATAAATTAACAATCAGGTATGAGTCTAAGGTGTTCTCCTCTTTAAAAAGGAGTTCACACAACTGGAATCTGCTGTTGATGATTAATTGATGGAATCTGCTCTTCCTGATCCAAGTTTGTGGAAATGAATCATGTTCTGATCAAGAGAGATCTCTACAGACTTTGGAAAAGGGTTTGGTGATGCCCTTGTGGATGGAAATGGTACTGAAATCATTGCCAAAGTTATTGGCCTCTGTCAGACCATGATCAAGGAGATAGCATACAGATTGAAAAAAAATGTACTCTAGTATCATTGTTATTTTTCTGAGAAGTGGTCCAGCAGAAATTACCCAGAAAACAAAATATACAATGCTATGGGAAACTGGGAAACTACAAAGAGGTAATAAAGGATCTATGAGCCATTCTTGCATTGTCTCTTATCAGTGTTCATGAGCCCATCATTAAAAAAACAATGAACAAGTGTTTGCACAAATGAGACTACAGTGGAAATGTTTGCCATTCATGAGAAGTATTACATCTGGAGGGAAAAAATGCATTCCAACAAAGAAACTTGTGCCAGCTATAAATCATGGTAGCCAGATAATGATTTGAAGCTTCTTTGCATCTTCAGAATCTGAAAGTCTGACATTCGTTGATGGAACAGTAGATTCTAGACTGTATCAGCAAATTCTACAAAAAAAAATAAATCAGGATATTTATCCTTGAGCTGAAATTTAAACAAATGCAGATCATGCTATATGATAACCCCAAGTAACCAAGAAATCTTGGGAGTGGCTGAAGGAGAAGAAATTTCATATTGGAATGACTCAGCCCAAACCCTGACCCTAATTGAATCTTGTGGGCAAAACAAGCCCCAACATTACAATGAATTTAAGTAGCTCTGTAAAAAGAAGCAGACAGAATACTTTAAAACTGATATGTAGGACTTGTCAACAGATACAGGAAACTTTTAGTTGAAGTCATTGATATTATAGGAAGTACCACCAGTTATTAAATCTAGAGAGTGTGTGTGTTGATTCAGTGTGTTCAATGGAGATGTGTGTTGTTTGTTTAGCCAGAATATCTCAATAAATTAATAGGAACTAGGTAAGATTCAGATCACATTGTAGGTCACAATGCTTCCAGATTAAATATAACTTGGGGATTCACAAGCTTTTTTCATGATTGTATGAAGTTTTATTTTGCAGGAATCTTAAATATTGATTTGTATATTCATTTGTATATTTCTGAAACAGGCACGATACATAGAGAAGATTGAAACATAGGCATCTTTTTATTTTATTTAATATAGCAAATCAATAGCTATATTTCTTTAAAATATTTTGCTTTGATCTTCAGCTGAAAACAATTCAAGAGCAACCTAAAATATAAATAAAAACAAGACATTTCCCTTCCAAAAGCTTATATATTTTAAAAAACACAAAAGGAACAGTGGGAGGAAAATAATTTTTAAGCACTAATTCTTAAAATCATATCATATTGTTATAACAGGCAGTTTGAAAGAAAAAATCCAGGAGAAGAAGAGACAGATATATTTGATCCCTCAGTAGATTAGATGGAATGCTGTGGATACTTGAGGAAGACCCTATTTCTCATCTCTCCCCACTGCAGCTGTATATATAATAGAGTCCTATTACTGCTGTATGTCCAGCAACAGATGAGAAACTACATTTGCCATAAGTTTGAAAGTCTAGTAAGAGTTACAGTGTTGTGTTAAGATGGTTAGGCAGTGTAGGGAATTGATCCTGTGTGATTTCTAGGATTTAGTTATGGTAAGGCAGCTGAAACGAGTTTATGTGTGAACATGTTTCAGAGTGATGGCTACACAACGGATTAGAAGTTAATCTTGATTTGATTTTTACTGAAGAAATTTGCAACCACCACTTATCATTTAGCAAATGTATCTGTTGTAAAATAGACTGCAGAAATCATTTTCCTCATCTAAGTCTGGCTGTTTTGTGGAGAAGGGTCCCAAACAAGATAACATAAATACATTTCTGGTCTGCTGAGTGGTAGCAAAGATAGTCTAGGGTTAAGCTTAACATTGTCTCAATCAGTCACTCTCCTCTTTCCAGCACCAAACCTCACGAAATGTGAGGTCTGTGGTACCTGCTTCGAGACCCGCAAGGGCCTGTCCAGCCATGCTCGTTCTCACTTACGGCAGCTTGGTGTGGCTGAGTCTGAGAGCAGTGGAGCTCCTATCGACTTACTTTATGAACTGATGAAACAGAAGGGAAAAGTGGACAGCAGCCCCGTCTCTCCAAGTCTTAGCAAAAAATCTGCCTCTCCCAAAGAAAGGTCTGCAGGGTCCTCCCGGCCAACACTGCTGCTGCCTCTCGACAAAGCCTCGGAAAGGTCACAAGAGCCACCTGTAAACAAAGCAATCAAATCCCCTCCAGGTTTCACCCCCAAGAATGTTTCCCAACCAGGATCTCCCATATTCAAGAAAATGGCATCTGCTCTGCCTGGTTCTCCGCCACAAAAGAACCCTGAAGACAAAAGCCCCAAGCTACCGTTGGGCCCTCTGCAGAATTCACCTAAAACACAGTGGTCACAACTGGAGGATGAAGGCCCTTTAAATCTAAGTGAGTCTGTTTGATCCTGATGCTGCTTGCAAATAGGAGAGCTGGCTTTGCCGGTTGCTACTGCAGGGAGCTCTTTGACTTTCACATTACCTTGTAGCGTGAATCCCTGCAGGATTGCCCAGTCGGGAGACGCATTTTACAACTTTTGGCTTTACCTGGGTTACTCCAGTCACACACATCGCAACTTGTGTACATTATAGTATTTGTGACGTGCACCATATGAGCGAATAAGACAAATAGGATGCATTTGATCTGGTGCAAAGATTTCTGTTCTAAAAGAACTACTGAGGTTGAGATTATGATTCGATTAGATGGAGTATTTTTTTTTCTCCGAGTAAGTGGGTTTTGCATTTTTAAAAATCCTAAATACTTCATCTCAGCAAAAGAGGCAATTCTATGTAATTTAGCAGTCTCTTTGTCCAGCTTGTCCTTCATACTTACACAATTCCAGGTTTTGCTGCAAAGCTTTTGTGTGTGCCATTTTTATTTGTGCCCAGAGATCATATGTTTTTATGGTTGGAACTCAACGATATTTCTCCATTAAAGGGCCAGCAGGCATAAACACCATCTGCTTCTTTCTAAAATCTTGAGCAAAGTTACATTACCTTTGAAAATAATAGATTACATTCTTAGCCTCCTGGGAAGAAATAATCATTAAAAATATATAATAATTATAGAATACAAGATAGTACTTTAATGCTACTAGCATCACTAGTTTTCTGACTGAAGAATTCTTTCTAGTTTACACAACGGTCCTCCCCCAATTACATGCACATTTTTCCTTTTTGCCATCGTTGTTGGGATTTATTTTAAGATTTGTGGACTTGTGACTCATAATGGAACTTCTCTGATCTGAAACTAATTTAGCATATATTTCTGGCTTCTATATTCAGGGCTAAGTCTGTTCAGCCTTTCTGTGAAATCTGTAGAAATGGTATAAGCCATCCACTATCCTTCCGTGATTTCTTTTGCACTGGAGAGTTTTTAGTGTCTGTGCTATTGATTCAGCCTTTTTCAGCTCTTCAGTAATTGTTACTGGTAGCTTTCAGTGAGTTTCATTTAGTTTTGCATATAGGCTGAGGTAAGTAGAATTATAAAGAAAGAGCAGTTGTCTGATGGGTTTGAGCAAGGATTCTAAGATAACTTTTTATGTCTAGGAAGTGGATAAGGAATAATAATACATAAGGCTTCTGTTGTGGTTCTTTTCATTGTTGTATCAGCAGTGAAGTCCACAGCACTACTTTTATGCAAAATGTATTTCAACCTGATATATTCATCCCATCACTGAATTCTACACTAGTTTCACTGACTAAAAATTATATAGTGTATCCAAGTACTGTTTGTTGCTTTTCGGAATAAATTTAGGGCAGACACACTGTTCACAATGTAATAGTTTAACTATTTAATTACAATCCTAAAGTATGGTGCAATTCTGCATCAGTTATAACACTTAAGAGGTTGCCACCAGAAACTTTAATTTTCCAATCCTGCTCTGAGCTATTATTCATCTCTAAATGGATGTCTTCTCTAAATACTTTGTGTTCTAAAAACCTATGCTGTCTTTATTTTGAATGAAGAAATGTCAAATATTATTTTGTCTTACATATCCAATAGAAGATTTTTAAACTATAACTTGTTATTTTCTTTATGGCTTATATGGCTTTTCTGAACATTCGTGTACATTTGTCATAGGCATAAATGTAATTAATTAAAATAAGCTCTTAAAATATTAGTTCTGCAAAACCCAACTAACAACTCCTGTCAGTTTTACATTTTGTAATACATAAAAGGCACAGCACTGCAAAAGGTATGTCAGTGTCTTCTCAATCCGTCTTATTTTGAAATCAAAATGAAAGCTTATTAAATGAAGATGTTTCTAACAAATGGATAGATGGGAGAAATGATTTCTTATGGGAAGAATTCCACTCAGTTGAATGTCATTTAGCTGTGCTGACCAGATTGGTAAGGAGCTTCAAGTCATGAAATATTAGGAAAATACAAATAGCACTGTTCTGTCTGCTATCTGATTTTTCTGGCATCAATTGATATTTGGAAATTTGACATAACTAACTTTTTATTATTCCATTCTCAAAAGTAGTTACGCATACTTAAACAGCTGTTGGTTTAAGCTGAGATAGAACTAACCTATACATCAAAAAAGAGAATTTTGTTGGAAAAATTGACCTGGGTCAGTGAAAGGAAATGTTAAATATCTCTTCTGCAAAATTGTTTATTTTAACTATTAAATCTGCAGCTCTGCTAAGGGTGAATAACAAGCCTCTCCTTTGGAGTTGTTTATCAATTACTCCTATAGGTAAATATTTTTAACATGCCCTTTCTAAGAAATGAGACCTTTAGGGAAAAGTCCTTTTCAGGTTTTAAAAGGTGCTTGAGACACATTATTTATGTAATCGTATCTCTTGTGATCAATGTTTTTTTTTTCCGCAGCTGTAGATAGTGACTCGGGCAGAGAAATTGACTGCCAATTATGTGGTGCCTGGTTTGAAACCAGAAAAGGGCTGTCAAGTCACGCTAGAGCCCACCTGAGACACCTGGGAGTGAGCAATCCAGATGCTAAAGGATCTCCTATTGATGTTTTAAATGATCTCATCAAAAATGAAGACTTCAAAGGCCGTCTTTCCTCTCTCATCCATAGCGAGAGAGACTCATTAGGGGAGATTGGGAGTTCTGATGGACACAGCCCAAAGAGTACAGCTACAGCAACACCTACCACAGGCATGAAACAAGCACACTCACCAAGGCCTTTGGGCAAACAGCCATCTATACTCTCACCTCACTCCCTTCCACCATCCAAGAAGCTGAAGCCACATGGGCACAGGCTGTCACTTGTGGCCAGTCTACAAAGGAAACAGGGTCTTTCTTCCAGTGCGTACTGGGCATCAGATGCTGAGATGGCTCCACTCAATCTCTGTAGGTTCTATCAGCACTGGCTATTGTCCCCTCCTTCTCTTCCTCCTCCCCCTCTCCCCCTCTAGTTTTGTTTATGTGACATGGAGCTGTGCACTTAGAAATGCAGACCTCTTGTCATTACCTGCCTTATGTCTTATTTAACCAGTAATGGGGTGGAGAATCATACTCTTTGGCTTGCAATCTCCATTGCACTTTCCCTTCAAGGGTAAACCTTTCCCAGCTGGCCTCTGCATATATGCTGAAGTTCCTTCTCTGGGCATTTGCTCTATTTGATCAGAATAGATAACCAATCCTTGACCCAGGTATGACCCAGCGATATGCTTGTTTTCTGTGCAGTTAGAAATATCAAAAGACAAGTGTGGACTCCACATAGTACCTTATAGAAAGGGAAGGGTTTGGGTTTTTTTTTGCTATTTAAAACATTTTTTCTTTTGCAGCCCCTGGGCCTTTTTGTGGCCCTGGGTTGGTTTCTGACTTCTCCATTTTGTAGGGCATTCACTAGCTGTATTCATTCGCTACAGAATATTGAATACCAATATGTTTCTCTTTGACACATACAGCCTTAGCTTTTAGAGAACTAGGATGAAGATTGTTTCTTTTGCCATTTATATCAGGGCTTTAACTAATGTTTTCACCATCCCATATCAGGGATGAAGGAGTGTAACTTCAAGGTAATTAAGATCATAGCTGTTTTCCTCCCTTAATGTAATTAGATAAAACCAGTCAAAGGGTCTCTTCCTACTGGTGATTTAACAATTGTTTGATTGTTCTGTATTACCTAAAGACAATTGCATGGTGGCAAATAAAGGACACTTGGTGGTTTTCCCCAAGCTTTCTGGGAGTGAGTTCTTTGATAGGGAGACTTATGTAGACATTGAATGATGGGATGGAAAATATAATTATTAATTTATACTTTGGGATTAACTGCTCAAGTGTACAATAAGCCAGTGTGCTTAATGCAGACAGGGGGGGGGGGGCTTTTGTATTTTAACAGTGACTATGTGGTAACTGCCATGGAAATGTGTGAACTTCTTCCCTCAAAAGCTGAATGAAGTTGGATTAGAAGGAAACTATATAACTGTGCTATACTTTAACATTAGAAGATCTTGTATCAGCTGTGTTCACCCTTTTTTAATTGGACATTTTCTGCTGTTCTCAGTTCTTTGTCCATATTAACAGGGAGCCTTGCTTTAACCTAGATTTCATGGTGTTTTATTGGAATTATTGGTGTTTATTCTTTTGGCCAAATTTACTGAAATACCAGCTTTGCTTGTGAAAAAACCCTTGCATTATATATCTGCTTCATACTCCATATTGGATGGGAATACATAGTTGGTACCCACATCATCCTGCTTTTTCCTGCATATTTTTTTCAGTCACATTAATTTATTGGTTCTTCTTTCTTTCTTTTATTCTCAGCCTCTGGTGCAGAACCTGTGCGGGACATCAGATGTGAATTCTGTGGGGAATATTTTGAGAATCGCAAAGGGCTCTCCAGCCATGCCAGATCCCATCTACGTCAAATGGGAGTGACTGAGTGGTACGTGAACGGTTCTCCAATTGACACACTCCGAGAAATTCTGAAAAGGCGAGCTCAACCTCGGACCAGTACCTCAAGTTCCCCAGCACATGGTCAGAAGTCAATGACCCAGTCGGTTCTTGGAGGCTCTCTGGAACCCTGTAGCCCAGGAGAAAGCCACATGCCTGGGATCTCTAAGAAGGCACAGCAGCCAGGGAGCCCCATGGGACACTCGCCTACCTCTTCTCCTCCCCCAACCGCTAGAAAAATATTCTCCGGGCTTCCTTCTTCTTTGCATAAGAAATTGAAGCAAGACCAATTACGAATGGAAATCAAGCGGGAAATGATATCTGGGGGACTTCATAATGAATCGCATCTGTCTGACAGAGCCTGGTCACCACGGGAAGAGATGTCTCCACTCAATCTCTGTAAGTGTTAGTAATGGGTATTGGATGCCCACACAACATAGTTTTTTGATGCACATCTAAATGAAACCAAATTTCATAAGATATTTCATTTTTTTGTTTTTGTTTTGTTAGGCAGTGAATTTTGGATAACAGGAGACTGCATGCCATTTTGACAATTTTATCCGTGTATGCAAATGTATTTTATACTATGGAAAAGGATAGTTTTGTTTTTGATAGTTTCTTAATAAAGCAAGAAGGTTTAAAACATTTAGTAATTCCCAAAATACAGGTCTAAACAGCCAATCATTGTAGAGTAGCTTTTCCCAAACTTGAGAGCTCTCCGGATGCCCTAGACTTTAAATACTAGAATTCTCCAACCAGCATATATCCGTTGCTGAAAATCTAAAAATATGGCAACATTGGAGAACAGCTATCCTATAAGTTGTAAATGGTTGAAGCATAAATATAGACAAATAGACAAGGTTGGATCTGCCCACCCTTATGTGACTTGAAAAATGCTGTAGAAATAAATCAGAGTGTTCTGATTTACTGCTAGTTCCTTGTTTGTTAAACATTTTCTGTGTGTGTTTTTCTCTAAGCTGCTCGTGCAGACCCTGTCCGGGAAATTCGTTGTGAATTTTGTGGCGAGTTTTTTGAGAACCGGAAGGGGTTGTCCAGCCATGCCAGGTCTCACTTACGTCAGATGGGAGTAACTGAATGGTCAGTCAATGGATCTCCCATTGATACATTACGTGAAATCATAAAGAAAAAGAACAAGCCGTGCTTGATAAAGAAGGAGCCAAACACAATGAGCATTGAGCTTCCCACAGCTATGGGAGACGATGGAGCTGATCCTAAATTGCCTGGAAAAATTCTGCAGCCCATGACATTGTCTCCACTGGGCGGAAAGACTGGAAAACCACATCTTGGTCGGGATATGTCCTTGTCCCTACTCAAGTCACAGGAGGGATTCTTGGCACCACTCTCTGCTAAACGGCCACTATCAGATGAACGACTGAGTGGCCATGAAATGAAACATAAAACATACATCCAGACCGAATTGCCATTCAAAGCCAAGTTGTTACATGAAAAGCCCACTCATACATGTAAGTGCTATCGAGGTACAGGGAAAGGATTTGAAAGGGATTCAAATAAAATTTGGAATTCGGTGACAGGGCTTTTCTTTGTGAAATTGAATTGCTTTCTGACTTGGTAGAGTGAAAAAGATGGGATGATTAAATAGTAAACCAGGCACAGATGCCAAAGTAACTCTCGGTATTTTATTTTGTTTTATAATAACTTCAAGCCTGTAGTAGTAGTATACTCAGCGGTTTTTTACAAGCTCTTTAGTGCAAATCATAATCTATTGGGATAGTTTTAAGGTGTATAATTGTGAGCATATCTTTCTTCCTTTCTGTATGTTTAATTCTCCCACCCTGTCATCATGGTTGATAAAGAAGTTTCATCATTTGCAGAAGTGAGTATTAAGCAAACAAATAAATAAACTACTGTCTTTCAATCATAGTTCCATGCCCTCAAAATGGCCAAAAGGTATTTGCAGCATAACTCTTTTCATGGAAAGAATAATGAGTTTACTTAGCTTGTAAGTATGATATTAAGAGTTGGAGAAAACAGTGCTTTAGGGTTTTCAAACAGAACTTTTCAAAAGCCTTAATCCTGAGTAATATTTAGGGAGACATAGAAATCATGAGATGGAACAGGTAAGGGTATCATTCAAATTCTGAACTGCTGATTAAGCCCTTTATTGAGGATTTTGCTCAGTCTGGCTCCCTGCCTTTTCTGCTTCCAGCCAGTGAAGCCTGCTGTGAACTCTGTGGCCTCTACTTTGAGAACCGCAAAGCACTAGCCAGCCATGCTCGGGCACATCTCAGACAGTTTGGCGTAACTGAATGGTGTGTGAATGGATCCCCAATTGAGACTTTAAGTGAATGGATCAAGCATCGCCCCCAGAAAGCGGGAGCCTATCGCAGCTACATCCAAGGTGGCCGGCCCTTTGCAAAGAAGTTCCGCAACGCTGCTCACCTGCGTGATGGTGATGCCTCTGGGAAGAGAGTTGCTCTGAGCCTGCATGCAGGCAGCCCTTCACTGATGAGCAGAAGCCTAAGTGGGGAAATGATGCCAAACGAGCACAGTAAAGGTGTGGATGGTTGTGGCAGCAGTGAGCGACCTGCAATCACGTCCCCTTTGTCGCTTGTAAAGGTGGAAGAGCATCAGCAACATAACATCAACAGTGAGTCGTTGCTCTTAGATTGCCAGCAGAAGATGCATTGCAAAGCTTGCTGGAGAGAAAGGTCTTGGTAGAGGAGGTATTAGCTTGCTTGTGGGGAGGTGGGTATACTGGCAGGGATTTGAGTGCTGGTACTTTGTAAATGCCTCACTGCCTGTGCCTGGTGGTTCAAATGGTTTGAGTAGTTATAGTAATGCACTTGAGTAAGGTTAATTAAGAGACCGTTAGGTTAAAAGCTCTGATAATGTTGTATTCCAAAATGGGCAGAAAATCTGATGTGACTTTCAAGACTCCCTTTTCTTATCCGCCTTTCCAGCACTGACTTTCCTGAATACATTTAATATTAAAAAGTCCTTTTTATTCAACCTCTATCTGATCTGCAATTGATTTACTATATTCCATCACACTTTTTGAACTGACAGACCTTTCTCTTCATTAGAGTTTGAACGGAGGCAGGCAAAGCCCATTGAGGCTCCTCTACATAGGGAAGAGGAATCCAGTGACTTGCAACAGAGGGCTGAAGAGGTCCGCCAGCCAGCCCCCAGAGTAAGACCAGTGCCCTCTTTGGTTCCTAGGCCACCACAGACTTCCTTGGTGAAATTTGTGGGCAACATCTACACACTAAAGTGCAGGTTTGTCTCATTCTTCTATTGTATTAATTTCCAAATTCAATATATTAATCATGGGATTATCTGTGGCTACACCATGCATCTGTGTGACCTCAGACAATTTTTCTTTTCTGAAACCTCTTTAGAAACAAAGAGATAAATTGGGAATCTCAATAGATCTTTTTGCATATATAAAGTTTCACTCTTTGGCATTCTAATGACACTAATTGACATTATGTTCTTTCTGCAGATTTTGTGAAGTGGAGTTTCAAGGACCCCTCTCCATCCAAGAAGAGTGGGTGCGGCATCTTCAGCGCCACATTTTGGAGACTAACTTCTCCAAGGCTGATCCGTTGCGAAGTGGGACTGATATGCCTGCAGCAGCACCTGTAGCTGAAGCCCAATAGCAAAGCTCTTAGGAAGCACCAGCATTCCAGGCTTTCTGCCTTACATTTCCAAATGTACAAGAATAATGTTGAACAAATAGGAGTGAACACGTTTGTTTTTCTGGGTTCTATAGTTTCGCTACAGAGTCCAGGTATTATTCATAGACTTAATTTGGACTTTCAGAGGCTAAGAGAAGAGTCCAGAGTTTGAGCACTAAACAAAACCAAGTTGGGTTGTTTTTTTTTTTTGTTTTTTTTTGGAGATGTCCTTATTGATAGCAGTGGCATTCCACACTAGAGCTTCTTGTGTGTGTACTGTCTGCACAGAGGGAGGATGGGTTTTTTTTTTTAAAGCAAAAAAGAATTGTCCTTAACCTCCCAGTAAATGCAATTTTTTCCAAAGACACACTCTCCTCACACGGAGAAAACATTTCACTCGCTCTGTTGCAGTTCAGGCTGTAGAAGATGTTTTGGTGAGAGAGATGAATGTGAGGTTCTAGTGAAAGTTGTGAACATGGGGGTCATTTTGAGCCCAAACATAATCTGGGAGGGTAGAAGAAGAGCTAATTTGCTGTGTGGGGGAAAGCTATTGATTCTATATGTGACCTTAATATATGTTTGATTCCTTAGATGACAAGTCTTTAGTTTCTGTGGACGTTGGATCCTGTTGTGCATGTTCACATCCTCTAATTGTGTGTAATGGGGTACTCCATCCCAGTACGTTATAGGGGAAATCAAGAACTTCTTGACCATATACGTTTGCCTCTTCCTTACTTCCTAATGTCAATTGGTTATCCTTGTTTCCTGTGGAATTTTATATGTAGGTAATCCTACTCTGCAATACTATGGCAGTTTGATTTTGGTAGAGGGATAAGATTCTCTTTTATCTTAAGCCTTGGGCTAATGATTGACCTCTGCCTGAAGATGACATGTCCTTCTGGCCAGTTCTGAATTAATAAGTTATATCCAGGAGCGACTGAAGAACTTGCCGCACAGACTTCTGGACTTCTTGTTGGAGGGGCTTTATATGTTGTTTCCTTTCTAGCAGGCACTTGGTGCAGTTCCCGGATCAGCAACAGTAAGTCCTACTGGAATTTCTGCTTTCCTGTTTTCGATTACCGTTGCCGTCTTCTTTCTCTTCATTGAACCTCAACTTTTTAAACTCTAGTTTTGTGTAGAAATAATGAGCGTTTGTTTTTATTTGGAACTCAAGCTGATCAAAGCTAGAAGAGAAATTACCTTTTAACTTTTTCAATAGGCATATTCTGGTTATTATTGTACCTAGGAATATGTATATTAGATTAAACTCTGTTCTGGAAACAAAATGGAGAAACTGAATGTGTGCTTTTTGAGTCTTTGTAGAAATATGAAATAAGTGAGGGAGAGAGAGAGAGAAAGAAACAGAGACAGACAGACAGACAAACCTGGAGTTTATGTAGAGGGAATTATAAGAGTGGATATGGAAACAATTTCCTGAAAAAGTCCTAGATCTTACCACCTAGCATATATTGAAGCATTGTGTGCTTTCTCATTCTGCTTTTCTCTTAATGAAAAAACTAAGCTTTTGAAAAATGTTGTTCATTATCCAAGATATTTTCACAACTAATGTGGCATAGGAGATTGTAAACTAAATTTCTTAGGGCAATTAAAACAATAATTAAGGTCTTGCATTTTTAAGGGATCAGTAGTGTCAGTAAGCTCATTTTTATCAAGAGGACATTTATTTTGAGATGCAATTTTTCCCTCTAATAGTTAAAGTATTAATCCATGTACTTTCCTTTGATAGTTAAAATATTAATTCAGTCACCCCTTAAGGTATGAAATGATCTTAATCTAAAACCAGAATTTCCATGTCAAAGGAGTTTTCCCCTCCACATGTAACTACAATACCGAAAGCTACAATAACAAGGCATTTTGTAACAATAACCACTTTAGTGAGCTGAATACATTCCTTTGCAAAGTTTAAATGTTGATTTTAGTTCAATTGAAAATTGAATAGTGAAAATCACTAAGATTAGTGAGGTCATAACCAGAAAAATGGTAAACAAATCAAGATGCAAGCCTTACTGCTCTATAATATGCATGCAATATCATACAGGTAGTCCTCAAGATACTGATCTCTCTTTTTTTTTGATAAAAGTTTTATTTGGGTTTTCATAAAGCATAATACAAATAAAATATCTTTTTGAGAGCAGCATGATTCCAGGTTATCACATCTCCATACAGACATAATCTCAGTTACATATTCATCTTTGTATTCAATTTCATATCTTGTCTCTATTTTATCAATTTCTCAATAATTTTTCCCTTCCCTTACTTTCCTCAACCTTATTTATGATTATTTCATTCCTTTCTAATTCAATTACATATCTTTTTCTAAATTTCTATATCTTTCTAGTCATTATATTTGTACTTTTGTCTGTCCTGTTTACAATTTCATACATTCTTTTTCCATCATCATCCTGAAAGGGAAAATAAAAAAAACAATTCCCTCCCCTTCCAGGCATTGAAAAGCAAGGTTTCCCCTATGATTACCAAGTAGAGTGTGTCACCTTTATATCTTATAATTGTTATCCTTTCAAATCTCATTAAACATTTAATTTATACATTATATAATTATAACATTCAATTTCTAATATCTATTTTATATCATATAACTCTTATCAACCTAATTCCACTTGGTACTTTCCCTTAAAAATACACACTAAATTCTAAAAAAAGAAAAATTATATAACAATAATGAATCAAGTGGTTATTCTATTCCAATTCATCCTGACAACTGATATTGATTTCATTATAAATCTTTTACATTTCTTTTCAATTGTATTTTATACAATGTATTTTAAGAACAATTAAAGTATTTTCATTCCTTCCTCTTATTCCCTCTTCTTTTACTTTTATTCCCTTTCTCTCTTTATTTCATTTAATTATTAGCAAACATTCCATTACATAACAATACCAGTTTTGTCTTTCACTTTAATCCCTGTTTCATATTTTCTAGCTCATTACTATTTCCAATATAACAACACTATATCTTGTACCCTTGCAGAATCCTCTTTTAATTTATATTTTAACCATTATCTTTATGTCTTTTAAATAGGCGAATACCTTTAATCCTTGTATGTTTCCGCTGTTTATTTCCTGTTTCTGTCCCTTATAACTTCTTTTCCTTTTTATCTTTCCCCTCTTTTTCTTATCACCCTTTTTGTCCCCCTCTTTCTCTGATTCTCCCCTCTGTAATCCTCTTTTCTGCTTCTTCCTAATGTTATATTTACTTTTCAGACTATTCTTTTTTTTTTAGTTGTTTCCTCAGATCTTGAATTTTTAACTCCCTTTCCCCCCTTTTTCCATTTTACCCCACATTGAATTGTTTGGTCGCCAAAAATGGCTTCTTCTTTGTCCAGCCCTTCTTGTTCTTCAAGCATTTCTTGTTTTTCATAGTTCATAATCTCCATTTCTAAGAATTGAAGTGTGAAGCCAAAGGATCCTTCTCCCTCTTGCGACTATTCTTTTAAGTTCCATTTTTAATTCCTCAAGGAGTACTGCCATTTTAAGCACTTTTAAACGACCACCCGATTAATTTTAATTCAAACCACTAAAAATCCAACACCCAAAATTCCAAAAATCACCAAATAATCCAAAACTGTTTCTTCTTCTTTTTTCCACTTTCTCTTTCCCAGGGCTCTGTTATCTTGTAACAAAGTTTCAGTTACAATATATCCTTTGGAAGTCTTGTTAAAATTTCACAGTTAATTCTTTTTATTTCCAGGTGGTACTCTCTGTTGTTTCCAAGTTCCACCCTTTCTTTTTTCCTCCACTTTCCTCCTTTTGAAGGCTTTAGAATATCCAGAAAGTCTTTATTTTCCCTTTAACACTTTAATTTCAGCTTAAAATTGCCTGTTAGTGTCAAAGAAAATTAACACAAATTTCTTACTTAAATCTCTTCTTTTTAGCATTCAAAGCCAATTGCAACTGTCCATGTGAGAAAGAAAAAGTACTTTTTCCTTTTCCGACTCTTTTCCGCCTCTTTAAAAATCTTTTAGGAATAACATTCTTAATAATTTTAGTTCCAGGGTACCTTGCTTAGATGTTATTTCTGCTTAGGCCGGTCTGTCAAGCTCTCCCCTTTGTCTTCCCTCCTGCTTAATCTTGTCTGGTTGGGTTCCTCTTTGAGATGGCCATTTCTGACCGCCGCTGCAACCGCCTTCGGGAAAGGTAGTAATGACCAGCCGAGGAGGAGAGATGCGGCTCCCCTCGACTCAGCTGGCGGTCTCCCCCCTCTTCGCCACCTCTACAGGGTGACTTCAGTCCCAAATCCAAAGGATCAGGGCGCTCCAGCAGCGAACACGGATCGAAACCACGTATGATCGCGGATTTTGGTGTATCGCTGAAGAAGCCCAAACTGGAAGTCCACACAACTGATCTCTTAAATTCAAGATGCAACTGGCCATTCAAATTGACGACAGACTCCAAAAACTGTTTATAATGATATTCTGAATGTATGGCTACTGTAATGCGCCCAAGTCATTTGCCGTTATGACTGACCTCAAGAAACGTTGCAACACACACACACACACACACACACACACCACTGTGTACCCACAGATCTTAGTGCTGCTCCTCTCCCACACCCATTGCACACTTACCTCTTGAAGATCTGTGAACTTTATGTTAGGAAAGGCTAATCATCCCTGGACCACAGGACTGCATCCCAGAAGTGGCCACTATTTTCAGTGCACCAAAAATTCCTTGCAGAAATAGCAGCTGCTTCTGGAGCTTTCTGTCTCAATCAGCTGACAGTTGGGAGACTGCAGGCCTCTCCTATTCTTGTTAGGCTTTGAGGAAGCCAGCTCCTTGCATGAAAAAGTGGCAGCTCCAGAACAAGCTTCCCAAAACCTTTCCCTTCCTGACTGTCAGCTGATTGGGGCAGAGGCCTAGCTGGACTCCTTCTTTTGAAATGGGAATCGGATAGGAGGAAGCAGGCAGAATATTATGTAATATTGAAAAATGCTATTCAAGCTTTTCAAAAGAAAAACACAAATCATAAATATTGATTTAACTATCCATTGTTTCTGAAACTCAGAAAGAATCTGAGAATCTGTGAGAATCTTATCATGATCCTATACAGGTTCTGTGCTTATATCTTAATGTAAAATCAGTTGCGTTGATTTGCTGCAGTAGTTGCTTTCTATAAAAAGCATGTAGGGGTCATAAAATATAAAATATGTTTCTTGTTTTATTTCATATTAGCTTTGATAGCCACACAGAGGCAAAATATGGACTGATTTGGTTTAGCTAAGCTTTGCACTTCCTTAAAACTAGAAAATCGCTTCACATGTACTGATAGAACAAAGATCTTTATTAAAGGAACAAATATGCCTTCCCACAAATATAGTCAAAAACCATAAAGCTCATTGTGAATAGAGTTCCTTTATTCAGAAAAAAAGTCATAATGGTGTGTTGATATAGGGTTACTATACCCAACTCTAGTCATTCAGTTACTATTGCATGTATTTCTTTAAAATTTGGCTAATGGTATATTAATAGAAGAAGTTAAGCATAATTAAAGAAACAATCTAATTGAAGGGGTCAGACTAATCAGTAGAAGAAAAAAGTAATTCAAATAGTATATTCAAATTAATGGATCAAAAATGGGAAGAATATGTATAAAAACAGTACAACATGATTAAATGACATGCATTTCAATCCATAAATAGATTTGTTACATCTTAAACATTTGCCTCAGGAATATTTCACTGGATGAGTTAAAATAAATATTTAACTGGGTGAGTTTTAGAAGATTAGACACACAATATACATAGGTGTAGATAAAAATATTAGCATGCATGACTAGGATTGGTGAGCAGGAAACAATACCATGAGACAGTTATCAGAATATAGCAGGCAGTAGTACTGCTAGATTTGGGATAGAAATCTCTGGGTGACCATTACACATTGCAAACGACATTGTGGTCTTTTGGATTTTTGCAGCTCAAATTTACATCCTCAGATACTTGTGTTTCCAGGTGTAATTCAAAGTACAGGTTGCCATCTATAAAAACATACATGTCTCAGTACCACTTTTCTCTGGTATTCACTGCCTGACCTATTATATCTGGCAGGGTTGATATATTTCTGTTAAACAATGCCATCTGAATTCTAGAGAAATGCCTTGGAATGTTATCACTTCTGGACTCTGGAAAACATTGCTACTCTGCTCAGCCCTATCCTTCCCACTTGCTTTTAGAAAGGTGGTGAAAAATTGGGCTTTTCAAATAGGCCATGAGCTGGTGTGTGATAACACTGAATGATGTATAGTGATTTTTTTAAAACATCAGTCACCTTGAAGGTTTCCAATTTAGTGGCTTAATAATACATAGCCCAAAAGGCATTAAGAGTTGTTAACCTAATCCTGCGTAGCTTTTTCTCCGGTAACATCACACTACTAACTACAGCATACAAAACATTTGCTAGACCAATACTTGAATACAGCTCATCAGTCTGGAATCCTCATTACATAACAGATATTAATACAGTCAAGAAAGTCCAGAAATATTTCACGAGAAGAGTTCTCTACTCCTCTACTCATAGCAGAATACCTTATGCCACCAGAGTTGAAATTTTAGACCTAGACAATCTAGAACTACGCCGCTTTCGGTCCGATCTAAGTATAGTACATACAATTATCTACTGCAATGTCCTACCTGTCAATGAATACTTCAGCTTCAACCACAACAATACAAGAGCACACAATAGATACAAACTCAAGGTAAACCGCACCAAACTTGATTGCAGGAAATACGACTTTAGGAACAGAGTGGTCAATGTCTGGAATACTCTACCTGACTCTGTGATTTCTTCCCCAAATCCCAAAAACTTTAACCTTAGAATGTCTACTATTGACCTCACCCCTTTCCTAAGAGGTCTGTACGGGGCGTGCATAAGTGCACCAACGTGCCTACCGTCCCTGTCCTATTGTTTCTTTTTTATTAGTATCCATTTCATGTATTCATAACCATGCTCATCCTTATACCTGTTAACTAATACTTGCTTGACAAATAAATAATTAAAATAAATAAATAAACTTGAATAAATAGGTAACTTTAGCATACATTTCATTATAATCTGGAATCAGAGTATGGAAAAAGCCTTTAACACACTAGTGAAACACACTTTTAAAAAGAGGCTTAATTTACAGAAGTACACTACAGCATGGATTATTTTACTCATCAGTTCACAACAGTTGATTTCACAGATAATGCTTTACTAAAGAAATTACGTCTAAGTCCCATTGTTGGACTTAGGTTAAGTTTTTCAAGTGTGCATTCTCAGTATGTCATTTTTTAAATTGACACTTTTATTGCTACACATTTTTACATATATTTATAAAAATTTACCATTTTAAAATTAATATTAGGGAAATAACTTACATTTGAATTTTTCTGAACTTTTCATCAGATAAGATGATGAAAACAAAAAATGGAGGAAAAAATAGAATTGAAATCAGAGTTGTTCAGTCAGCTTTAAGATAGATATAGGATTGGGCTACAAACATTCTAATTAAATATAATAAATGGTATGTCCTCTCAAATTTATTGAAATAAAAATCCTGATATGTCCATCAGTCAGTAATCCTCAGGATGGTGAAGTTGTTTGAAATTGGATTCAGATCCAGGAATCCCAAAGTATATTTGTTGCCCATAAGGTTCAGGCACCCAGGTTGTCATGGAACTGGAAAGAATTTAGTTCCTGAATTTGAGAAATATTCAATGTCTTTGAAAAATGGTTTATGTAACCCCCATCCCCCCCACAAACCAACAAACCACAAGTTCTTCAGGCAAAGCAAAAAGCATTTTACTAAGCAGAAGTCAAATCTTTATATTTGGTGCAGAAATAAATGACACATACATTTGATACATCAGCATAAAAATCAAACTATAAAAGCCATTGATTAAAAATGAAAAAGTAGACACCCTTAAAATATGTTGCATCTTTTTTCCCACCCAGGGAAAAGAGGAGATGCAACATATTGTTTCTTTAACACCTGCAACACACTCAATGACTTCAGCAAAGGAAATAGTTTTTGCTCAAAGAAAAAACATGGTTTCCTAAACTTCAAAAGAAGACAATGCTATGCTAAAGGCTTAATATCACCTTTATTAAAATGCTAATAATGAAATATAAAATTCCAGGTAACAAATTCCCTATATGTTTCTCAAAATATTAATTTGCTAATTCACCTTTTAATTAATTAAGCAAGTGAACAGTTAACATTTGACATCGCTTGGGATCTATGGTGGGAGCGTTCTGTGGGGTAAACTAAGAATTATGGCAACACTGGATTGTAGGTATTGAATGGGTGCCTTGAATAAGACAACATCCAAGCAGGGCAAGGGCAATAAATGCTTCACCCACTCCAATCTGCCATCCAAGTCCCAAGCATTTTGATTTCCTTGAAAGGTTTCCCTGTTTCTTGTCAGGGAGAAATTATTTTAGTTAATTTCTGTTAATTTCTCTTAAACATTCATGAAAATTTCAGCAGCTTTGATTAATATACATAGAGACACGTACCTTTAAGGTTCCACTAATAACTGCTCTAAGGCCACCTTAGTTTTCAATACTACATCTTTCTGAGAAGTTAATTCACCCAGAAGTTGCTTACAGCTGTTTGAGGTGTCATTAAGAAAGATTTTAAAAACAAATTATACATTTGCAACAAATTCAGCTAAATAGCAATAGCACTTAGACTTATATACCACTTTATAGTGCTTTACAGACCTCTAAGCAGTTTATACACTTAGCATATTGCCCACGACAATTTGGGTCCTTATTTTACCCATCTCAGAAGAATGGAAGGCTGAGTCAACCTTGAGCCTGGTGAGATTTGAACTGCCAAATTGCAGGCAACCGGCACTGGGCTGAAGTAGCCTGCAGTACTGCTTTCTAGCCACTGTGCCACCATGGCTCATGTAAAATCCTGTTTATAAAATAAAGTGTGTGTGTGTGGGGGGGGGGGAATGTTGTCAAATGCAATAATGTGATTTACTTACCAATCAGTACTTGGGGGAATATGAAAAATAGGGTATCCCTTACCTCCATGTGGGGGTGATGAAAAGGAGAAAATCCCACAAGTTTTATTTTGCAGGCCAGCATTTTTGATCACATAAAGCTTGAGCTGAACAGGAGTATGCTCTCCTAGCCCATCCCATATCCATTTGTTGCATTAAAAAATTGCAAAAGAAACAGAAGTCATGGCTGCTTAAAAATAAGAAGTCCACAAAGATTCTGAAAAAAACTTCATCAGGCCAGTTCCAAGAGTCTGTCAAAGTCAGCAACAGTTCATTTCCCCATCTGTTATGAAATCAGGCACTTTTTAAGCCACATGAAATCTCCCAGCTAGAATGGATGGATCTAGTCAACTCAGAACTGTGGTCTCTACCACTGCTGCCTTCCAGAGCTCACTTTACTGCTTCTGTAAGGATAGAAACAATTTGGCAATTCATCTTGCCCGAACTGAAAGAACCTTCTCATAAGCAATAGCAAAGAGAACAAGTGCAAAACTGAACAACACAATGTTCTTCACCAGTCTACACTCCTTAGCAGCCTGATAAGTGATTGCCTTTAGTAATAAAAGAAATGGCACCCAAAAGTGAAATGACCAGATCTGTATACTGCTTCAAGTCTGGACTAGCTAGAAGCCATGCTGCTTAAGTGGCTATACGCTAATTTGTAAAGGATTGAGTCCGACATTCAAGGAGAATGGTAGCATCTCCTGAAGAACAAAAGAGTCAATGGAAAACCCATAATCAATTCTTTAAATATTTGAACAAGACCGTAGAAGCCAAAGCTCTTGGGTATCCAATTGTACCACAAGCAACAGGGTCCAGTTGTTTAGTGCCTACCCCCTCTTGGATCCTCGTTGTCTGCCTCTTCCAAAGATGTGGGAGTGAAGTAACAATTTTTGTGCCTACTTTGATGCAGGCTGATCTGAGCCCTGAGGGGTGCTGCACTGCAATCCTGGGACAGGTAATATAATTAGTTAAAAACTATCTGAGCCCAGCCATGGTCCGCCAGATGCTCCCACTTGCTCGTTCCACAGGTTTTGTTTGGGTGTCATTCTGTAGCAGTACTGTAGTTTTATATTGAAAACATGGGGCCTCAATAGGAAGCAATGCCAGAGATTTAAAAAGCAGCCAATACTTGAAGGCTGTCAGCTCCTACTTCAGAGCCCCTACTTAAAAGTCTGAATCAGATTTAGCAAGATTTTTAGCCAGACTCTTTCAAGGGGTGTTTCGTTATTAGAGAACGATGCTGCATTGCAGTAGATTGTATTGCAGAGTCCAGTCTAATGAAAAGGCAGTAGCCTTTATCTCACTGCCAAGAGCTATTTTCTCTTGTCAGGCAGCCATGCTTTTATATATTCACTGTAGTTAGCAGGCTAAAATTTGCAGAGCAATGAATCTCTTTGGCTCGAAAGGACTATTTGCAGATCTGTGCTGTAGCACAAGAATTAAAACAAACCCGAAACTGGACCTGGAAGGGCAAGCAATGACTAATCAGTTCTGTAACTGCCAAGAAAACAATACTGTGTGGGTTATGTCTCTGAAGTCAACAGGAGTTGACTCGAAAGTTTTAATTAATGTCAATCTCAACTTGCATATAACCCGGAATAAATCTATGTAACGATCCTTCAAATGGTTTCAATTTAATCCAACATAAGAACGAACTATGATCCCAGAGGTACCTCGATTGGAAACTTTTTTTTTTCCTACCGAACAGCCTATTTATTGATTTTCTGCACTGATTATGGGCCGTCAATTTCGACTTCTAACCACCCCACTGATATCCTCCATGAGCTTATTACGCCGGTGTTCTGCACGAGGGGGCGGCTCAAGCGATTCCCACAAGTAGCCAAGCGAGATGGGCCCGGCCTACACAAAACACGTCGCTCGATGCGCAGTATCGCAATCCCCGCCGGGTGTCATCGCGGACCGCCTCCTTTTCTTTTTTCTTTTCTTTTCATCGCCCGCTGGGACCGCCTGCGATACCGCTTAATGGCTGCTCCTCCCCCCTCGTTCTCGGGGAACGGACGCTCAAGCATTTCAAAGGCTCTTCAGGGACCGAAGGAAGGAAGGGAGTTCGCCGCACACAAGGACTTCGCACCCCCCCTCCCCATTGTGCGCACTTGTGTTGTGGGCGACACAACAGGTTGTACATTCCGATGGGCAGCTCCCGATAAAAGGCGCGCTCATCCTAGCCAAGCCAAGAATTCAGCGGCGGCTCCCATTTCAAGGCGTGAAAGAAACACCGTTACCCTCTAGAAAACAGCGTAGGCAAATTAGCCCCCGACAATAAAGCCAGTTAAAACTGATAAAGAGTTTAGCCCTCGCTGAGGACATCGAGCGGAAGACATTATTTGCTTGGCGGGCTAAAACTGACACCCCACTTTACCTACCGCTCACCCAATAGATCTGACGGACGTTTTCCTTACCGAGTGAGCTGCGGAGCTTTGGACCCACACGGCCCAATAGAACCGGAAAGGGGCGGGACGGAGGGCTACCGTCACCAATGGAAGAGTGAAGCTAGGGAAAGTGAGCACGGCGAACAGTGTCGGGAGGCGGGGTTAAAGCCAGCTACGGTTGCTGTCTGGCGCAGAAGATAACGGGTGGGAAGCGCTCGGGACCGCCACCGCCACCGCCATCATGAGCTATTCAGGTAAGGGGAGTGGGTGAGAAGACGGGCTCTCGAGCTGAGGACGGTCACGGCTTTGACTCTACGGGAGGGGACTGAGAGGAGGCCCAGCCCATGGCAACAGTCCGGGGGTGGGGTCACGAGCCTTGCCACCACCACCACCCCACCCCCTGTTTTCAGGCATTGCTGGCTCGAGTCCCTCGCCATCGTCCGTGGTCGAAGCCGAAGGCTCTCGTCCGTCGTTCTTGTGAAACGGGCGGGGAAGCGGGGGCTTTGGCCCGTCGGAGAGGAGGGTTCGTGAGGGGCCTCGCCTCATTCTGGTCACCGGAGCTCAACCTCCGCTTTCCACCCCCCCGCCCGCCCATTTGTGGAAGGCGCGAGAAACGAAGAGCGGCATCGATCCTCTGCGCCGCCGGCGTGAGGGAAAGGGAGCTGGGCATCATCGGTATAAAGTCTGCCGCACGCCTAGAGGTCCCCGCTCCTGCCCCGTCCTTGCCAGTAGTTGTAATAGGAGTGGGGATGAGGGAAGACGTACGGAACCCACGTCGGCGGTGGTTCCCTTTAAATACATCACACACACACACAGACGGACACACACACACACACACACACACACACAGGGGGAGAGAGGGGGGTTTGCTAGGCCTGTTGCCTTTTCATTTAGTGACCGTTCAAAGTTACAGCTGCACTGAAAACTTATGACCGTTTTTCACAGTTATGATCTTTCCAGTATCCCCATGATAAGGTGACCAAAATTTAGAGGCTTGGCAGCTGGCTCATATTGATGACCATTGCTGTGTCCCAAGATCATGAGATCATATTTTGTGACCTTCTGACAAGCAAAGTCAATGGGGAAGCCACATTCACTTAACAATCAGGTTAGTTACTTATCAACTGCAGTGATTCACTTAACAACTGGGGCGAGAAAGGTTGTAAAATGGGGCAAAATTCACTTAATAAATGTCTCAATTAACAACAGAAATTTTGGGCTCAATTGTGATTGTAAGTCGAGACTACCTGTATTAGAAACTTTTAGACTTTTTTTTTTTGAAGCTGGGTGCGAGATTCAGAATCTTTATGGTTATCTTGGGTGTTTCCTGTGTCTTCATACATACGTTACAACATTTTTTCTGTAATGCTTTGGTGAGGTCTGAGTTAGGGTTAGCTAAATATGCCTCCTCAATTTCTTCAAAAGTGATTGCTGTCAGTGTGTGCATAGCATCTTCTTTAGCTCCAAAGTCTTAAAATCTGTGCTAAACAGGTGTGTGGCTGAATACTTAAACCTCTTTATAATTTAATTGCTCAACAATTTGGTGCATTAGATGTGATAAAATTACTTCTCCACATGTGTTAAGAAGCCATGTAAGTAATTTTTCAAATTCTAGTGCCACTTTTGATTTCAAATACTTCAGTAAAACCCTGATACTGGTGTGTAGAATGAACTTTGTGTAGTTCTGACTACCCTACTTGGTTTTTAAGTAAAGTTTTTCCCCCTTAGTATTCTACAAATGAGGTAGACTCTCATAGTACCTTTGAGGCTTACATATTTTGCTATAACACATAAGCTTTCATGAGCTGCAACTCAATCATATGTATAGGATGGCTATGAGATGAAATGAGATTTTATTTTTTTATGTTAAATATGAGGTATTGAAGTAAAACTGTTGTGATATAGGGTGGTTAGGCAGATAAAATTTCATGAGGCACACACTACCATACAAATACTTTGACAGGTAGCAATCATTACATGCTAAAAACTCTCTTCGTTCATACATTTAGAAGTTTTATTATGTTATCAGCTAAATTACATTTCTTCATAATATCATTTTAGCCATAATCCATCCATTGCAGGATGAAGGCCTGTTCTGCATGTTTCCAACCTGTATGGTCCTGAGATTTCCTTTGCCAATTGGGCACGCAATACTTGCTGATGTCATCAATCCATCTTGTTTTGGGTCTCTTTTGTCGATGTTTTTTATCAAGTGGGATCCATTCTATGACTGCAGTTGTTCTTGCTATGTGACCAGCCCATTTCCAATTCAATTCTTCTACGGTAGTTAAATACTCAATACTCCTGTGCAGCCTCCCTGGCTCACATTATACCTCTCCCATGCACCCTTCCCAATCCACGTGGCATCTCCTGTTCACCCTTCATTTCCTCTCTTACTTGCATTAATTCTTCCCTGCAGCCCCATGCACCCCTCACTCTCATCTCGACCTTGCAGCAGCCATTTACCTGTCCTCTGGTCTGGGAAATTCAGCTTCCTGCCAGCATCCCGGTTGACTTTCCTTGTGGGAAGCTTGCAGGGAACATTGAAAATGATGATCATTTGGCCACAGCCGACCATAGCAGCACAGTAGTACTGAAGTGGCTACAACTTTACCACATTTTAACCCAGTGGAAGTCATTGCTCCTAAATTTTGCATGCCTTCTGTAAGAATAGAATAGAATAGAATTCTTTATTGGCCAAGTGTGGTTGGACACACCAGGAATTTGTCCTGGTGCAAATACTGTCAGTATACATAAAAGAAAAGATACATTCGTTAAGAAGCAAGAATCATAAGGTACAACACTTAATGATAGTCATAGGGTACAATAAGCAATCAAATCATACTAGGAAACAGTCAGTATAAATTGTAAGGATGCAAGCGACAAAGTTACAGTCGTACAGTCACAAGTGGGAGGGGATGGGTGATAAGGAGTGATGAGAAGATTAATAGTAATAGTAGTGCAGACTTTGTAATGGTTGAACAGTGTTGAGGGAATTATTTGTTTAACAGAGTGATGGTTTTCGGGGGGGGCTGTTCTTGTGTCTAGTTGTTCTGGTGTGCAGTGCTCTATAGCATCATTTTGAGGGAAGGACTTGGAACAGTTTATGTCTGGGATGTGAGGGGTCTGTAAATATTTTCACAGCCCTCTTTTTGACTTGTGCAGTATACGATTCCTCGATTGAAGGCAGTAGTTGGTAGTAATTGTTTTTTCTGCAGTCCTAATTATCCTCTGAAGTCTGTATCTGTCCTGTTGGGTTGTAGAACCAAACCAGGTTACCAAGTTAGCCCATTAGAAGTTCTTTGATTCCAAACTTTTGCACTATGATGCACCATTTAACCCAGTTGAAGGCTAAAAATAAACAGGCATAATACTTTCAGTAGATAGATCTTTAATAAGAATGCAAATTTTGCACAAAAAAGTTTGTTGCAGTCTTGGGCAGTCAGATCAATGTAGCATAAGGAAGAGCCAGGGTCAGATAATGCATTTTCATTCTCCCTCATATCACACATTGATTTTTTTCTTTGACTGCCTGGATAGCAGTATAAGATTCAATTTATAATATAAGCATCCCCAACCCCTGGGCAACAGATCACTACTAGTCTGTGGCTGTTAAGAACTGGGCCACACAGCTGGAGGTGAAGCGGTGGATGAGCAAGCAAGCAAAAGCAAACCATCCCCACCCCCGATCTGTGGAAAAATTGTTGTCCACTAAACTGGATCCTGGTGCCAAAAAGGTTGGGCGCTACTGCTATAATACAATGAGCATATGGAGCTATTCTGGTAATGCACTTTAGTTAACTACAAAAATAATTTTCAGACTATCAGTTCTATTTTTTCCTTCTAGGACAGCACTTGAGAAATAAATATTTAGGTAATATACAACTTATTACAGGTAGCCCTTGACTTATGATGTGTTCGTTTAATGATGGTTCAAAGTTATGACAGTCTTAGAAACAATGACTTAAAATCATTGTACCATCCCCTGTAGTCACAGGATCACAGTTGGAGCGTTTGGCAACCAACTCGCATTTGCAACCAGTTGCTGTGTCTTACTATCATGTAATTGCAATTTACAACCTTTTCTGCTGATTTCTGGCAAAAAATGCCCCTTGGAGAAGCTGGATTCATAGTCCCAGTTGTGGATATAAGTTGAGGATTACCTGGTCCTACAATTAGATTTTTTTTCTTATTTAAAATGATACTGTTCTTCTCAACTTCTATAGGATAGATTTGTTAGGAGTATTTAGAAATTGTATTTAGGTATTTTCTTAAAGAATCAACAACTGATAATATATGGTCATGAAGAAAGGTAGGATGGTATAATAAGATTTAAATATTCTCATATGGGCAATCATTTAGTGACCTGCTTTTGTATGTCTCAGTAATGGTGGTACTCCCATGAAAAGAATTATCTTGCTGCTTCTTTATTGTTAAGAAACTATTACTAGGAAGTAATAAATGTATATAATTGGTGCAGAAATGATACTTTTTTATTCTTGAATTTTTTGTCAGTATTCTGTGAAATGGATACTGTCACTGTAGATTAATACTATGGTTGTTTGATAAGGTTTCCATATATTACTATCAGTATTCAGATAAGGACAGATCTAAGGGATTATATGTATTTGTTGTTTCCAGTAATCTCTTTAAGAATGCTATTCAATTCTGCCTATACTTTCAGAATATCTATCTATCTATCTACCTATCTATCTACCTATCTACCTACCTACCTACCTACCTACCTACCTATCTATTAAACATAATTCCATAGTCTTCTAATCTGAGAATATATATTAGTGTATTTCCTCAAATTTTCAGCACTAGATCACACCATTGTACACTGCTCAAAAAAATAAAGGGAACACAAAAATAAGACATCCTAGATCTGAATGAATGAAATATTCTTATTAAATACTTTGTTCATTA